GGTCTATGAGACAAAAGAAATTTCTTAAAATTTTTCAAGAAAAAATTTCCTCTATCTCTACTTTATAAAAATTTTCTTTAAATTTTTACTCCTACAATAAAATTCTTACAAAACTTCTCGAGTTTAGAAACAAAATTGGCACCCCTAAGTGGTGGCTTCTCTAGAGTGACGATTCGTGATGCCTTGACACAAGCGAAGCCCTTAGAAACTACTGTCTTTCTTATTTGGATCAGCACCTCTGACGTGTCATACGACGTGGCAATTTAATTGGGACACGTCACGAAATGGTTCGATCATCCCAACCGCTGGAATCGAAAAAATCTAACGGGTGGGATGCATCCATATCCAATCCTATTGCTGGGTTCTGTTACATTTGAGCCAAATTATTCCAAACCCAATTATATTCGGCAGTATTTGGGTTTATTGACCGGTGGGATGTGTTTAGTTACATACGATGGACATGCTTTATTGACCTCAATTACTTATGACTGATCAGCGATGATGGCAGCATGATACCAACTTTGGTAAAACAACTGGGAAAATCCATTGTCGTTAATCAGAAATACTTACCAAATTAGTCTAATATGAGGTCGATGATGCTGATGATGCTGATAAAAGCAAGATCAACAAGAATTTAATTAAGTTGGTACCTATTGTTTCCTCAAAAATCCTCTAGTGGCCTCGCACGTCTGAAATTTGGATGCGAGCGTGCCACTTACTTTGCTGAAAGCAAGAAATGAGGATTTTCCCAACGACCCTCTCCTTCCTCACGGTCGACCTCTTTGCAGATGGCGGGAAAAACGTTGGATTAAAATTGAAATTGCGCCTTCAGACGATTTGCAAGAGGGAGGGATACCTTCCTGCAGAATGGGTTACGAAATCTGCCTTGGACAACTCCAAGGACTTAAAACACTACCGTGACTTAAAATTAACAAATCCTAATTATTCTAAATTACCTGCAATTTAAACTATGTTTGCAAGAAATAAATGTACCCAAATTAAATTAGACATGCTTATGGTAAAATTAAAATGCTATCTATTGACAAATTTGAAAGTTAAATTACTGCAGAATTATAAATTTAACCCTAATTAACACCAAAATTAAACGTGAACAGTGAACAAATTGAAGAACTTGAAGTTGGAAAGAAGCATGAAAGCCACACAAGTAATCATTGAAGCAATGCTACTTAAAATAAACACTAAATTAATTATAGACAGAAAATGAA